GCCTTGGCCACTCTTGTAGGTTTAGATCGCAGATTATATGTCTGAGTCTTTATTCTTCATATGTAATTTAAAAGCAAACTTTTTTTTATAAAAATTTCAATTGAATTTCAATAAAGTTAAAGGCATGGCCTCATCACTAATATTTAAAAAATAAAAAATAAATTAATTATTTTTCATTACTGTTCTACTATTGTTGAAGTGAAAACCCACCTCAAAATAAATAAAAATATTAATATTTCAATGTATATTATTTGCTAAATATTTTAAAACTATAATTTAGTATTAGAAATAAAAAAAACCCTTATCTAAATAATAATTATTGAAAAACATAAGTTATTTTTATAAAAAAATATGAAAAATAGACTATTGAAGATTGTTCTAAGGTAATTTAATCAAATTAGTCAAAATTCTAAATTGTTGGGTTAAGAAAGCATTATGAAGAACTGTTAAATCAGTTTTATATTAAATTTACTATGAAATATAATTACAAATCAATTATGATTTTGGGTTGCTTTACCTCTTATGATGTCAACAACTATTATAAAATTAATGGTATGATGGATACAGATTTGTATCTAAAAATACTTTATAATAATTTGATGTTGATGATTGAGGATCATGGATTTGAAATTAGTGAAGTTGTTTTTAAACAAGATAAAACATCTTGTTATATAACAACCTTGACCAAATGTTGATTACAAGAAAAAAAGTAAAATTTTTTAACTGGTTTCCCCAATTGACCAATCTAAATCTAATTAAATACTTGTAAAATGAAGTTGATCATCACCTTGGGACCTTCCTGACCAAATTTCAAGTAAAAAAAACTTTGAGAAAAAATTCAGATGGTTTGACAGACAATCAATATTGAACCTGCATGAGGTTAATTTGTTCAATGCCAGAACAAATCCATGATGTAATTAAAGCCCAGGATAGCTATACCAGATGGTAATAGCTAAAAATTATTAGAAAAAAAATTTTTTTTTTATATAAAAAAAATTTTTTTATTTTACAATCATGATGCTGTTAAAATGAGCAAAAATAATGCAACACATATATTGAAATAAAGCTCGTGCTTCTAAAAAATTTTGATCACTAAATTTTTAAATCTTTTTTATTAATGATAATATTACTATTTGCGAATAAAATAAAAAATTTTAACAAATATGCCTGGAATTGTGAGATAATATTATCTGACTAAATTTTTTTTTGTTGCATTATTTATGATCACTAGTGTATTCTGCTTTGTGTACATTCATTAAATTTTTAGAATTTTAACAAGCTGGTTTAATTTACTTTCCAATTAAAATCTCTAAAATTTAAAGATAAAACATTATAAAGTTTTCCTATATTTGCATATTAAAATACTATCAAATATTCATTATGAGTTGTTCTTGGGTTAGTCCATACACTTCCAGATTATTACCCACTAATCTAAATTCTGCATAACTTTTAAACTAATTAATTTGAAACAAAAATTTATAATGTTAATAGTTTATACTTTATTTATATTAGATCATAAATAAAACATTTTAATATACTTCCCTTAAAAAATTCATTTGTGGATCAGCAAAAGTTTTAAGTGCAACTAACATTATGTTCTTTTGCCACATTGCGAAAAATACAGTGTAATTCCTCAATTTCTAAAATTACGACATATTCGGACTTTACAAACACCTGCATTAATGTAAGGAGTACAGCATTAATGCACATAATCAAACATAATAACACATGATTATGTATTTTTATGCATAATAATTTAAAAAGGTTTTCTTGCATAATATATCGGATAATTCGGATGGATATCTGATCTAATCGGATGGATATCCGGATATAGCTTATCGGATAAATGAATGACGGATTTGAACTCTACCAGGTAACATCGCTACGTTGCATTTAAAACCCAAATAACAAATCATTCAACTATGAATCTAATATGAAAATAACTTAACGATATGTTTGTCTGCATTTTCATTGATATTTTTTTATTCTTTATTTATAAAATAGTTTTTCCTCACAATAATTCGGTTAAATCTTTAAAAAGTATTCTATTTCTTTTATTATTATGTAATATTACTGTTGATGGAAACCGCACTTTATATTCTAGCAGTAGAAATGATTTTTATAAGAGTTTCGATGTGAGCTCAAGTTATGATGGTAGTCTCATTATCAAAGTTTTAGATGAACAGAACAGAAGCAAAGCCATTCATGCGCTCTTACAAAATGGTTCTACAGTATACATTGACCTTGGTTTTGTAAATAAAGATATCGGACGTATATTTCCTTTAAACAAAAAGTTTTTTTTTCTGCTTTACGATGGTGATGAAAAGCAGGCTACCGGAATAGTAATAGATTGGGATAAAAATATTGTAAAAGAGTTTGTATTAAGATTATTTTTGATTGACTAAAAATTTTCAATATAGTTTTTCGTTATGTTTATATTTTCATTTGAGCAGTAGTATTTTTGTAGCAAATGGAACTGTTGCGAATTCGAGTGTAAATGTTGTTCCGGATATACGATTAACATCCTTCTTAGTTTATAGTCAAAATAATAAAGTGATTAATTGGATTGCCTGTAATTTACCGTGAGTACATCTTATATGACATATTAAACTTTGTGTGTTGTGATAATTCAAATCTTAATTAACACCAAATATATTACAATTTCTAGAAAACAAGGTGATTCAAATATAGATACAATAACCAATGGCTCTTTTACACTTCCGGATAATTCATTCCTCCGATCTGTATTTCCGAATATTGATGGCAGCTATGGCTTTATTATAACAGAAATATTATACGACAATAATAACATTTTAAATATATCAATGCCAAACTTATTTATATATTATAAGTTTATAATCCCAACGACTCATCAAATGTCTGAAAACTTTTTACTTTATTATGCTAGAAATATTAGTAATATGTTACATATTTCATGTTCGTCAAGCTATAGTGAAAATGGAAATGTATGCATGATGACCAACTTAGTTGAGAATGTTCAAAACAATTCACTGTTTGTGACTTATCAAATCGACTTTTTATCATCTGGGTCTGTAATTAGGTTACAATCACATAGTATTCAATCAGTAAATACTGGACTTAATACTTATAATAGTTCAGTGTTTGATATCCATCCTTTATTTTATGGTGGATCAATTGTGACTAGTTGGATCGTTGGAAACAACAATACTAATGGTATTACAAGTCAAAAAAGAGATACTACTACTTTTGCTGCTCCTATTAATATTAATAATGAAGGTGTTCCTATATCTTTATTTATATCACACATGACTGCGAAAATTATTTCACCCAACGGCAGTGAAGTCAACTGGGACTTAGATAATATTGGTACAACCAGAGATACTAGGTTTATTGTAATGAGAAATAATACTTGCATATTGGTCGCAATATATGAACCAAATCGATGGGATATTTTTAGTACGAATTTGCCTAAATTTAGAGAAGACCGTAAGTATCATTGTAAACAATTTGGTTACATTAGATTGCATATTTTTTTTCTAATAACATATAAATCTATTAGTTGGCTATGAAAATCCAAATATTATTTCAACATATCCCAATATTAGTGATATCATATCACCATTTATTGATTCTTTCTGGATCGTTTTCTCAAACCGAATTTCTAAATCTTTAAATAATATTACTGTATATCAAACTGATACAATTACAAACTTATTTAAACCAAGAAAATTATTTTCTAGAAATTCAGAAAGTTGTAACATTTTAAATAATAGACTTTCATGTAATGTCTCATCAAGTATTTTCAACCAATGGAATTCAACATATATGATTGCAATGGACAACAATTTTGTAAAATTTTCCTCAACTAATGAGCCTATTATTGGCATTGAAGAAGACAAATGGATAATTACAACTATTCCAAGTGAGTATATATAAAATAGTAAATTTATTGGGATTTACTTTCCCCATTAGTTATCCAATAAATTATAGAGGTGGCGCATAACCAAAATTATTAGTATAACGTAGTATTAATATTAGTTCGAATGACTTTAAGCTAGTTAAAATTGAATTTTTCTAAATTTTTTATTAATAATTAATTTTTTATATAGGGCCAACGCCTGAAATGTATTCAGGTAATAATAAAAATTATATTTGGGAGCCCACAGTAAAGGGGGCAATGGCCAAAAATTTTTATTTTGTATTTTTATAAAAACTAGATGACTATTATTCTAATTCTTCAAGAAATTTTTTTTTTTTAAACAAATTCCTTTTGACCCATTGCCCCTTTTTGCTGTGGGGTTCCCATTCATAATATTTTTAATTATTTTGTAAAACTTTTTTTAATGTACTGTATATATATTTTTAGATTCAGCTATAGGAATTCTACGTTTAACTCCCGATGGTACTAAAAAGCTTTTACTATCAGATAGATCAGAATTTTTTAAACATTTCCAACAAGAACTTATTGAAAGCATTCCTACAAGTTCTGAAAGGATACGATTAACAAATCAAATCCAATATGATCCTTCAGTACCATCACAATATTTGGTACAAATTGAAATAGTATCAACTAAAGATCCTTATCAAGACACTGTTTCTCAAATTATTAAGTATCTTACAGAATTAATAAAGGACAAAGATACGATTATATATATGAATAATCATACAAAATATTTAGATTCATCGTTTGGTCTTGTAATAAACTGTAAGTGGTTTTTTTAAAAAATTTATATTACAATACTAAAATAAAATCTACATTCCTACTTATATTTAGTAAATTTGTGGGATGAAATCAAGTTAAAATTACTTGGATTATTAATTGGAATTATAATCTTGACTGCAATAACTTTATGGGCACATTATAAGAGTCCAGAGGTAAAAAATTGATCTTTATTTAACTAGTCATATTTAGAGATGGGTTTCATGCGCATTTCATCCCGTCAAGATTTCTCTCTTATCGATCGTTTTTTCTTTTTTTTTGCCTTTTTTTTATCATGCGATGTCATGCACATGAAACATTTCGTCTCACTTCTCCCATCACTAGTCATATTATATAAAAAATTAAATTACTAACTTTATATGTAGGGACAGAACTTTATGATCTTTAAATTGGTGTTTATTTTGTTGGATTTAACCATGGATATATTGTTTGTTATAGAAAATGGAAAGGATGTTCCATGGCTATATATTCCCAGGTTAAGATTTTAAAGTTTATAATTAATAATATTAATATTATTCAATATTAAACACTAACCATAATTATTTCATATTCACAAAAAGCATCATGATTTTAATTGTTTCATTAATATTTAATATGCTTATTGCGACCATGTTAATAACTCACGAATTACTGAAGAATCCTTTATTTATTAAATGGTTTAATCAACATAAAACAACTATTTCAATTTTTACTATATGTTCAGGAGCAGATGTTGCGTTATTTGAATTTTTGACATCAAAATTTGCTGGTCTTGAAATCTTCAATACACCATTCTCCAATATTACTATAAATTGGATATATTGGGCAACTATAATTAACACTTTAATTGAAGACATTCCGCAACTTGTTGTACAGGTTTGCTATATTACATTATTATAATGAATCTAATTTTCTCGGAAAAATTTGATTTAAATTAAATCTTTTCTGTTTTTATACGTATTTGCAGATTTTGTATTTCAAAAATACTGTCAAATATGAAACTATTCCATTTTTGGCATTATTAACTGGTTCAATTGCTTTATTGAATAATATTATATCGAAAATATATAATTATTTTAATGATAAGCAAATTTTTTTAGATAAAAATGAATATAACAGTATTCTTAACATTTGAAAGATGAATAAAATACTAAGTGTAATCTCCAACTATATAAGTTTTTTTATCCAATGCCCAATGGGTAATATTCAAATCTTTTAATTAATCCAACTTATGCCGTTTAAATTATGCAAATTTAGTGTCTCAATTAAATAAGTAAATCCCTTATACGGCAAAATAGTTTAAACTTGTATCTGCCCAATAACTCTATATTATTATGCTATTATGCTTGCTCCTTTAATTAAAACTATTATTTTTTCATCGATTATGTTATAACTAAATTTTAATTGTGCTATAAATTATTACAATTCGAATTTTAGTATCGGGCATAATTTATTTATCAGTTACAATTTTTAATAAATTGCACTACCGTAGAGATTGTTGGCTATATAAAAATGCTCTTACATATATAATGCTTACTTCTTATACTTTGGTTCATAAATAGTATATAAAGATAGAAATTTGGATTTCAAGAGATTTACATACTTGTTCGAATAATTCTGCCATGATAATTTAATTCATATTTCAATAAAGTTTAAAATTCACAATCAAATATATAAGAAATTTTCTTTCATGTTTGAATCACTTAATACCAATCTTGTTTATAAATATAAGCATATATATAAATCTGGCATTTAGGTTAATAAGAATTTATGTTTTAATTCTATTCGTACAAAATCAATTTGTGAGTATGGAACTTCATTATTATGTTTACATCTTATAATATTGGCAAAAATTCTTCCGGTAATATAAAAATCACATTTGTCATTGATAGATTTTACGAATTCTCTTAACATTAAATGTGAGTTTGTAATTAATTCGTAAATATAAAACTTGTAATTGAGCTTATAATTAGTACTTAATGTCGATATTGACTAGTAACAAAGATTTGAATGTCCTAAAATTTTTCTAATCGTTTAACTGTTTAATCACTTAATTTAGCCATCATCAAAATAATTATGGCCTATGACCAACATAATTAGGCCTAAAACAATGAAACTATCTTTAAGCGAACAAACGGTTCAAATCCTTACTATTTACGTGTTTAGTTATTGTTTTTGGGGTAGCCTCATATCTGAAGTAGTCACTTTAGATCTAAAGTAGATCTAACCAGAATTAATGCGTGATTTAGTGGTTTAATTTCTGTCAGATGCTACTTCAAATATCTAAAGTGTTACTTCAGACAGGTAGCTACTCAAGGTGCAACAGGATAACCGAGTATTGCAGTGTCAAAAATACTACTAAAAAACTACTAAATTATAATTACATATATTATGTACGTAATGTATGTATTAATATTACTAAACAGAAACTTGAATATCTTAATGCACAGTAACTATATAGTAACTATATAGCTATTATTAAGTTTAATATATACAGTTACTACACAGTTACTTTATATTAAGAAATCCAAGTTTCTGTAAAGTACCTAATAATTTAATTTATTAAAAGTGGTCTGACATATGAGTGCCGCCAAGGGAAAATGACCTTTTGTTTCAGCCCTTCTGACCAATGTCACATTGGGTTTTTAATTATATGACATATTGGCTAAACAATACAGCACAAATTTTGAAAGCCCGATGCGTCATTGATCAGAAGAGCTGAATCGGATTAATAATTAATAATATACTATAATTTGCAGATGGACATTTTCCCTTGACGGCACTCATATAGAGTTAATTGAATAAAACATTTCTAATTCAAAATGAATAAAGCTGACTTCTCTCGATAGGCTTTATTTATAAGTAGTCTAGTAGATTTGTCATATTCTCAAAGTTTTTTTTTAAAAAAATATGGTTAATCAAAAACCTATTATTCTTTGGGCCCATGCAAGGTCTCTTTCTACGGTCTTTGAGCGACCGTTTCTTCAACGTCCTCAAGAATTCCATGTTATCCACGAACCATTTGTTCCAATCGGTCATGCTTACATGACCAATAATCAAGAATTTTTAAATAAAATTCCACTACCAAAACCTACTGATCCAATCACTTTTGTGCATCATTTTTCGCCTACTCTTAATGAAATTCTTGCCCCTCATTATTATAATGATTATAAAACACACATTTTAAGAGTTTTTGTGAAAGATCTTGCAACCATCTTTTTACACGCATCAGAAGGCAATCCGTTACAATCAAAGGAAATTCTCTCAAAATTTAAACATACATTCTTAATTAGAAACCCAGAAAAATCAGTAAAATCTTATTATAAAGCTGCAATTGCCACATATAAAGTTTGGGATGAGGCTGGTGTGCCTAATTTTGAAAGAGTCAAACTTTTTTCCTCTAACAAAATTGGGCTCAAAGAATCGCGGATTCTTTATGATTTGATTAAGAATGTAACTGAAGAAGAGATTGCATTGGTAGATGCTGATGATTTAATTCGAGAACCAAAAAAAATCTTGAAAAAATATTGTGAAATGATCGATGTAAAATTTACGAAAGAAATGCTTGAATGGAAATCAGAAAGAGTAGAAATATGGGATTCAAAAATGTCAGGCTTATATTACGTTCAAGATTTAAATTATTTGTGGCATAAGTATGCTTACTTTTTATTTTAAATTTTTTTTTTATTCATACATTAACTATATATATCATAAATAATATAGGAACGCAATGCAAAGCACAGGATTCGATAAAACAATTAATAATGAAGAAGAAATTGAATATCCTCAATATGTTTACGATATAATTGACGAAAACAAACCTCACTACGAATACTTGTTTCAATATAGAATTAAAATTTAGAACAGACTGTATTATAAATGATGTTTATACATATAAGCAATAAATTTTAAAATCTAGAAGCAAATTTTAAACATCCATTCTGTATTAAGCGATTTTTTTTACAATATTTTCATATAAAAGTTTACATTAAATAAAGATTATAATTTTATGGTGATCTTGATGTGTACTACCGTTTGGTTTTTGCAACCATTCAAAGGCTTTCTTCCGATCAGGCAATGTACCTAAATTTCCATTCGATAACATAAACCGATTTTTATTGTCCACTGCGATAACCATTTTCGGCAGATTTCAAACACAATTCAAATGCTTTTATTTGATTCTTGGTTGTGCCCATGCCTTCTTCACAACAAATTCAAGGATTATATTGCGCGACAGAATCGCCACTTTCGGCAGATTTTAAATACCATTCAAATGCTATTTTTACATCTTTATCAGTGCCAATGCCATTATAATAATAGTTTCCAAGATTATTTTGCGCTTGTGCATTGCCACCAACAGAAGATTCCAAATATCTTCCAATGCTTTTCTTTCATCTTTGACTGTGCTTATCCCATTCTGATAGCAGAACCACAAATTATTTTGTCCTTGAAAATTGCCACTTTTAGCAGATTTCAAATACACCTATTACTGTTCCTAAGCCTTTTTGGTAGCAGAACCCAGGGCTATTTTGTTCATTAAAATTATTGCCTTCAGCAGATTTCAAAACCATTCAAATTCCTTATTATCATCTTTTGTGGCACCTATACAGATTTAAAACACCATTCAAATGCCTTTTTTCATCCTTTACGGTACCTATACCTTGGTAATAACAAACTCCAAGATTACATTGTACATCAGAATTACCACCTTTTTCAGACTTTAAATACCACTTAAATGCATTATTATCATCTTTTACAATACTATGCGATTCTTATAACAGTGTCCAAGACGATATTGACCATTGTAATTGTCGCCTTCAGCATAATTTAAATACCACTCAAATGCCTTTGGTTCATTCTTAATGGTGCTTATTCCGTTTACATAGCAGGATCTGAGCTCATTTTGCCCACAAGAACTGCAGATTTCAAATGCCTTATTTTTATGTTTTGCATTGCCTATGCCCATAATATAACAATGACCAAGATAACATTGTCTATCGAAATTGCCACCTTCAGCAGATTTTAAATACCATTTAAATGTTTTCTTTTGATCCTTAGTTGTATCTTTGTCATTTTCATAACAAATTCCAAGGTTACGTTGTTCACCAGAATCAATGTCTTCAGCAGATTCTAAATACCACTCAAATGCCATCCTTTTATCTCCAGTAATGCTTATGCCTTTGTTATAACAAACTCTAAGATTATATTTCTGACTAGAATCACTACCCATGGCATACTTTAAATACCATACAAATGCCTTTATTATCATCTTTTACAGTACCTATACCATTCCTGTAACAGTGTCCAAGATAGCATTATCCATTGGAATCGTCACCTTCAGCAGATTTTAAATATCGCTCAAAAGCCTTTTTTCATCTGTAACAGTGTCCAAGATGACATTGTCCATTGGAATCGTCACCTTCAGCAGATTTTAAATACCACTTAAACGCCTTTTTTACATCTTTAACAGTGCCTATACCATTTTCATAACAGAGTCCAACATTATATTGTCCATTAGAATTTACAGCATTGGCAGATTTTGAACACCACATAAAAATGCCTTTTAATTATTCTTAAATGCGCTTACACCACTCGCATAACCAAATCCAATTCTATTTTGTTCTTCAGAATTTCCACTTTCAGCAGATTTTAAATACCACCCGAATGCCTTATAACTATCTTTTGCAATACCGTAGGAAATCTAATGTTCTCATGTTCTCAAGAGACCATACTTTTGGATTTGAGAACATTTGTTCTCTATAAAAAAATTTTTGAGAACATATTGTTTGATAAATATGTTCCCTATATAGTATAGTATGAATGAAGTTAACAATTAGAAAATAAGTAAAGTCCGAAAAATTCCGGAAAGAAAATGAACGAACATAAAAACAAGCAAGTTTGGACAAAACTTGAATAAATTAGCGATATTGTTCGAAAAATTTCAAAAAATGGCAGCAGAAAGTTTTGTTATTAAGAACATAAAAATATTTTTAAGATTAAATTAAAATAATTGTGTTCTCATAAGAACATAAATTTCAAAACAGATTTCCAACACTGCATCAGAATCGCCATTTTTAGCAAATTTTATGTACCACTCGAATGTCTATGCCATTTTCATAACAAAATCTAACATTATATAATCCTTGAATATTTCAACTTTTAGCAGATTTTAAAAACTGCACAAATGCTTTTTTTCATATTAATAGTGTCAATGTCATTATAATAATAATATCCAAGACCATTTTGACCTTGAGCATTACCACCTTTAGAAGATTTCAAATACCACGCAAATGCTTTTTTTTCATCTTTAATGGTGCTTGTGCTGTTTTTATAGCATAATTCAATATAATATTGTCTTTGAGTATTGCCACCTTTCGCAGATTTTAACTACCATTCAAATGCTATTTTCTACTTTTTAAATAGTCAGTATTGATAGTTTAACAAGTTATGGTTAAATTAAGATGCCGGTAATTAAACATAAGCATGGTAGATCACAAAATAACAAATGCATTTATAACAAGAATGAGAATAGGGCATCTTCAAAAAAGTTTCTATTAACCAAAATCAAATAAGGGTAATGTAGTAATGTTACATTTTTTTAGTGCATATTTTAGTTTATACATTTCTCAAAATATGATATTACAAGTGCATGATCCATTCTCTGATAATCGTTATAAATTTAGGTTATGAGTTTTGGTTCTATTCTTTGGAATGCATACAACCAACATTAAATGCATTTAACATACCAATTGTAGTATTAAGTATAGATCCTGAAGTATTTTTTTTTCTACCTTATAATTAGAAGCCTAATTATAATAGAAAACCTATTATTCTACAATGGCATGAACACAAACATATTGACCTGGTCTAGCTTAAGCAAAATAAGAATGCTCAGCTCCCACTTTTAAGTTAACAATATGTACCATTTTGTTGTCATTATAGCTTTTGCAAAGATTGACTTACATTTTTTTTTGTATATTGTCACTTTTATTTTATTTTTTTGTTTGCATATTTGTATCTTTTTGCATTTGCCTGCTTTTACTTTTAGATTTGCTAATTCATATTTTTAGGATACAGTAATGTATTAACTTAGATGAAGAATATAATTGTTCTTCTGCTTTCCAAGAACACATTTTTATATGTGCATTTAATAAGCTGTACTGAAGTGCAAAATGAAATTTTATTGATTTGAAAAGGAAGTTCATACAAGAATTCCGAAAATTATGAACAATTAGGAACAAAATTTTAGTTGAATAAATGTATATATGCAAATATTAATCTTATAAGTGATGAATGGTGAAACCTGTAAACTAGTTCACTTTACCGGATTTGAACCCAAAGAATTTATAACAATTCCTGTATATTTGATAAGCTAGTCATTCTTATAACTTTTAATAAGCGAGTATCTAAATGTGATATTAAATACAAACTAATTATGAAATTGTTTTTACTACCTGTCATGCACATACATGTAATAATTCTTATAATAGGATATCGATATAAATTGTAATTTCCCACAACTTTATTGACCGAATTGAATGATGTTACACGAATTGATTTACAAAATTTGCAATTTTATTGGTTGGGTCACGTTAAACATCTTCATAACTACGTCACAAATCTAGGGTAGTGTAAAAAGTCGGCTAATGATGTTATTAATACTAACGGTAATGCTAATATTTTTTTACATAACTACAGAAAAAAAAATCCTATCGATTGATATTATTCTTTTAAAGTTTTTAATTTGAAATTGAAATTTTAAGATTCAAGCCCTTTAAGAGAGAAATCTTGAACGCCTTCATTAGTGAACAAAGGAATAAACAGCAATCGAGAATAAGGTTTGTGGATGTCTTGTAATTTATCAAGGTCTACATTGGAGTGAGTATCATATACATATCTTTAAACCGTTTCATCCATATGGTTGTACTTTTTTTGTGTATTTTAGGAACTGAATTTTTTTATATACGATTAAATTTTCTCGTCCGAAGGTTTCTTCACTTAGACAAATATCCGTAAATAACATAATAATCCGTAGCTTTTAAAATGGTAATTCCATTTTAGCAGTATAAATGATTTAAAGAAACAAAGAAAATTTTCAATTACATTTGAATCAAACTTCTTTTATATATTGTATCGATAGTTTTATTTGAGGTTATAAATAAAGCTTTTAAATAATGACGTAAGGGAGCAGGGGATTAATTAATAATAACTGGGTGAAAATTTCTCAACGGTCCAATTTCCATTTCAGCATAAGTTGCTACATTTATATAAGCAATCAAATACTGTAATAAATTTAAATAATTCTTGTTTGCTTGCATCTCAAAGAAACGCAAAAAGTCTAAACAACAAATAAAAAAACGCTTACTTGAAATTTCGATCATGAAACTATATTTTGCATAATAGAATTAGTATAATTATAACACCTTAATTCTAACATAATAGTATAACTCCTAATCTTAACGGCTTAAATTTTTTATATAAAATTATTTTTAGTCGCATCATCATTAATATAAAATTTCCCAATTAAGATAGTTTTTGAAAAATGTAACTTGGGCCGGAACTATGTCAATCTTGATACGGTTAAACGATTCCAGTGATAACTGGAATCATCAATTCCGTCAACTCAGTCAATTCACGGATTTCATTACCGGAATTTCATGACTCTAGAACAGTAGAATATATTCCGGACGATTAAAATATAAAGTCCGTTGCAATGCTTTTAATAATTATTCTAACAGTAATATTACCTCATTCTGTGTGTTTCGAACTGGTACGTATGTTACACGGTCTTTTATTTTATCAACCTAACGGGATTTAACAAGTTGATAGATACGTAAACAAATCAAAACTTGAAAAAAATAATGCAGTATTTTTTTTTAATTAGGAAATTTTTATGTGAAAATAAATTACACAATAATTTAAAATTAAACCACTTCAAGTTAGCATTAAAAAAGGCATCGTTAATAACGATAACGATTATAATAGTGAATATGCAAAGTTTCTAATTTGTATAACACTAAAATTCAGAATATCATAATTTATTTGATTTTTATGTCCTTAAAAAGCTTATATCACAATGTAAAATCTGATTCATGCATAAATTCCTTTTTCTTTCCTTTTTTTTTTTTTTTTTTTTTTGTTAGAACAAGAGGTTAACTATGTTTGGTGCAATCTTCAGCCTCAAATCAGTTGAGGATATAATGGACTATTTATAAATCGTATTCAAATTTATTTTTATGGAATGTTTTGTCTGCAGTGATACATTTGACAAACACACATAACCTAAATTAAGTTTTGATTGTTACAAAGAGTAGAATGACTTATAAAAGAAATGTTTGTTTGAAAGTTTAAAAGAAAACGTTAAAAAAAAAAAAATTTGTGCGTTTACATGTTTAAAAATAAAATGAATAGAAATACAACAAAATCATTTACTGATACAGCAAAAGAAATTGGTAATGAATATGGTAAAGGAGCAGCTTATATGACAGGAAAATTTATTGACGCTGTAGCTCCATATATACCATTATTCGATGTTGCAACAAAGTTAATTAAAGAAATTATTGAACTTCACGATGCAGCACAATATAACAGAAATACATGTGCCAGGTTAATGGAACGTGTGATTGATGCTAATGGAGCGATTGAAAAATTAAAACGAACAAAAAAAATCAATGAAAAAAAATTTAACGACCAAAATTTTTATAATACATTCCAAAGATTTACGAATACTTTGACAAAGATTAAGATATTTGAGGAAGAGTTGTCAAAAATGGGAAATTTTAGAAAAACGTTTGAAGCAAGTATTATAAAAGAAAAATTTGTATCTTTAACGGGAGAATTTGATTCAACAATGAAAGATTTGAACTTCATCATGACGATTGATAATGAAGAACAAAGAAAAAAAGATGTTGAAAGTTTAGAAGAAGACCATGCTGAGATAATAAAGGTTATATAAAAAAATAAATTTGTAAAAAGAAAAATAAATATAAATAAGAAATATTACTAATATTTACAACTAATATTTATAATATAATATTAATTATAATACATATAAATAGCTTATTAATTATACTAAAGAAACAGTTATTGACAAGGTCGAGGCAGTAGTTCAGGAAGTTCAAATAATGAGGTTACAACTTGAAGAAAAACTTGACAATCGTAACGAACACTCAGGCGATAAATCAGGTTATAAAGTTTATAAACCAGAGTATATAGGCAATGAACAATTACAATATTGCCGCTCGTCCTTAGCGCCTCATAATGCGAACAGAATCAAGAGAATGTATCAACGAGTCATTGAAGTTGAATGTAAATCTATAAATATTAGTGATAAAGCAACAGCTCCAACATATCTAGCGATGATAGGCAAATTAGGAAGGTGTCCATACATTCTTAAATTTTATGGGTTAACTAATGATGAAGGAAAAGACCTTCAAGTTTTAGAATGGACAGAATTAGGATCTTTGAAAGGTTTTTATGACCGTAATGATATCGGATGGGAAACAAAAGTGATCCTAGCTCGAGATATATGCCGTGGTATCGCATTTTTAAATTCAGTGAATGTATTTCACCATGATATTCGATGTGAAAATATTATGGTAAGGAATCCATATGAAATTTACAATTAACAATTTTTATATTTTAATAATTTAAAATTGTATAATTTAAAATTGTATATTCATATTTTAATTAATATAAAATAGTTAACAGAACGTTATGAACCCAAGATCGCTAATTTCGATATGGCTCGTGAAATTAATGATATATCCAAAGAAATTCCGGATTTAAAAGTTTTGCGATGGATGGCTCCGGAAAAAATGGATGGAGCAAAAAAACGTTATGATACAAAATGCGAAATTTTCAGGTAATCTAATGTTTAAACATTTATTATAAAACTTTATTTTTATGAATTATTTTAAAATAAATGTATTTGTTTGTTTTAAAGTTTTGGAATGATGCTATGGGAGCTTGCATTTGAAAAATATCCATATAGCAGATACAATCAGAATCAACTTGAGGAAATAAAAAGATATGTACAAAAAGGTTGCAGGGAAAGACTTGTTTTTGGTAAAGCAAATGATCAAAAAGAGGAAGATATTCAGCAAAAATTAGCAGAAATTATCAAATCCGGTACATACATATAATATTAATAGATATTTTAATGATTAATTTATTTTTTATGTTCTGAATAAATAATTTGTCTAATGCATTCATATTCCTTTATACTGTATGTTATCTTTTCAAGCTTGGCACCATGACCCAGATCAACGGATAAATTTAGGAGAGCTACTTGTACGAATAGAAGAATTATGTGAAAAATATGTTGAACGTGGAGCCTTGCCGAAAATATATCCTGATAAAAAACTAGACCTAGATGGGTCAAAATACGCGGAAGATTATGAAGAAGATTTTGATGACCTCATAATTAATGATTCGTCATGTAGTATAAAAACAATCATGCCTTTTGATGATGGATTAAAAATTCACCAGCAAATAAGGAAAAATGAATCTTGTGAAGCGACAAATGAAAAAAGGAAGCAAGCATGGGAATGTTTTTCTGAAAATGCTGAGCTGGGAAATTCCCAAGCAAAATACTGGAAAGGTTATTATTTATGGGAAGGATATTACATTGAAAAAAATCGAGAAGAGGCCATTCGACTCTTTAAAGAGGCAGCAGATGATGGTATTTCTGGAGCTCAATTACGATATGCATTTGCCATTATCGCAAAACGAGACAGAAAGTATACACCTGCTGAGATTGAGGAATTTAAAACGTACTTAACGATGGCTGCTGAAAGAGGAAACAGTTCAGCATTATATCATTTAGGAGATCTATATCTACATGGAAAGTTTCAGGTTGAAAAAAATCGTGAGCTTGCAATAGATAAATTAAGATTAGCCGCTTCTTATGGAAATGATCCTGCAAGGAAATTATTGGAACAATTAGGTTCATTATAAATTTAAATTATAATTATGTAAATTTTTATTGTAGTTAATATAGTTGAACGTTCTATTTATTTATTTTCAAAATTTTAAATAAAAATTAAAATTGCTGATTTTGTACTTTCTTTAAAATTGTCCATAAAAATATAGCTTACGTCACATATAATGATAAATTGAGAGATATCTACAAATTGATTACTAATCGATTCGTAAATTAAGAATTATGTAACACTTGACGTTAGCTATATTTTTTTTTTTATGAGCGATGGGTTTTACAAATTGGAAACTTGTAAACAAATAACGGCCAAGTAATATCTAACGCTAATTAAAGTTAATTTCTTGAATATTATCAAAGTTAGGTATTATTAAATTCATTAAACAAAAACTCCTTTTGTTCTTTTGACATTACTACGTAAGAATGCGGTTGCAAATATTGTGCAAATTTTCATTCATACAATGATCTACATACTGTATAAATTATATTCTTGATATCTGGTACCTGACAATAATAATTGATATTGCCGATCACTTTCTCGTGATGAATTTGAAATATTTATTACAGTATTATGATTGGTCATTTTTAAGGATCACATGACAACTGACCAATCAAAATACCTTGTTATTAATGATTATATTAATTTTATATATTGATACGTAAGATCTAAAAACTTTGAATATAACTCAATATTAGGAATAGACTAAATCGATTTAATACAATTTAATTTAGGCAGAGAGATTAAGTAATCATATACATCCATTGTTCAAACGAGAATCATAATCCTTCGTACACGATAACATATAATGTAGATCACAAGATATTAACTTAGCTTTTTTTCTTTTTTTCAAACTAGTTGACTACACTTTTTGTAAGTTAATTAGGAACTTTAACACATATTTATTAAACATTACTATTTTTCTAGTATACCTAAGTGAGAGGAATCCCAATATACTTGAAGTACCGTTTGTAAAGAGTCTTCTGTAATATTATGAACTATGGTTATATTTTAAACTGTATAAATTCAATTGTATAAAATTGACCAATCACGAGAAAGTTGAATCGACAAATGGGAGTGAGTCAATAGAAACGCACCATATTATTTTTAATGAAATTTTTTTAAATATTTAAACAAAAATAATTTAGCAAAACTTAATCAAATTTGTTGATTTTTTTTTTAAATGGATTCTATAAATTTTTAGAATTGTTTTAAAAAAAAAACTTTTATTAAATTTAATAAAGTTGTTGTTGAGTTATCTTTGTTTAAAGTTTTAAAAAAATTTACTTAGAAAAATTATGGTGCGTTTCTATTGACTCACCCCCAAATTTTCGTCGAAACAAATTCCAATACTTAAATTTCGTTCAACAATAAATCCAACAATTGCAACGAATTTGTTCTACGTACGTTGTATGATTATATTTCCTGATTAAGGGTTTATTTCCAAACTTGCATGATTGCCTTGACAAAATTTACTTATTTCAGTATTGTTGGTTATACGATGTTAATATAAAATACAAACCTAAGCACATACGTACGTACATGTGAAAATTGAATTTATCATGAATTTCTTCTATACACGTGATAAAAATTGCTTGATTGGCTATTTTCCGTTTTAGGAGTTTGTCTAACCGCAGAAACAATATGTCGATCCGACAAATTAAACTCAGGCTAATGTTTACATCTATCGCTAGGGCACAACATATAAAAAGGGAAATTTTCCCTCACGAAATATTTGAAATACTTAAATAAATTTGTTAATGATCTTCCAATCCTTTTCATCTTTGTTTTTTCAAAAATGATTCCATTATCAAGCGAATGTTTTTTTGAAATACTTAACTATCTTCAAAATTATTATGGAACTTTATTTTCTTGCCTTCTCGTAAACCGTCAGTGGTTTAGGCATGTTGTCCCAATTTTATGGAGTAGACCTTTAGACTATTTTGATGATTTAAGAATAATAAGATTATACCTTTCGTTTTTAAACTTTGATGAACAAGCTCCATTAATCCCATTAGAAATATCTCTTCCAAATTATCAAAAACCATTAGTTAATTACCCTACTTTTATCGTTTCTTTTCAAGACACTCATCTTAGTGAATCAATCATTGATTGGATTATCAACGAAGGTCATGGTCCTCGTGATTTAACCGATTATTGTGATGAGTATTATAATACTATTCGGAATGCCGTTCAAGCTGTTAAATGTTCATTAATTTCAATGCTTTTACGATCAAGTGAAAGGCTTAAATTTGTAGATATTCATGGCTTTAATCATGGAATATTTGTAAAGACTTTAGTTGATTCCCTTTATAGAAATTCTTCCGTTAAAAACATTAGTATTCATTCATCTTACCTCGGTTATGATGATATAGAAGTATTAGCTGATGCTCTTTCTAAAAATACCTCTCTAAGCTCTTTGAGAATTGGTTATGATCCAATTGGTGGAAATGCAAAATTATTAATTGAAGCACTTCACGAAAATACTACTCTTTCAACTTTGAGTCTTCATTATATTCGCCTTGATCATGAAAGTGTAAAAGCTGTTACAAATGTTCTTTTTAATAATTTTACTCTAACTTCTTTGGATCTTCACGGTAATCATTTTGGTGCTGAAAGTGGAAAATTGTTGGCCGAAGCTCTTTACGTAAACTCCTCTCTGACTTCATTAGATCTTAGTTATAATCAACTTGGCGTTGAAGGTGGAATTGCTATTTCTAGAGTTCTTTATAAAAATACTACTCTTACATCTTTGAATCTCGGTGGTAATTTAATCTGTGCTGAAGGTGGAAATGCATTGGCTACTGCTCTTTGTGAAAATATCTCTCTGAATTTTTTAAGTCTTAATTGTAATCAACTTGGTATTGGAGTAAAAGCATTTGCCGAGGTTTTTCGTAAAAATTCAACAATTACCTCTTTGGATTTTCATTATAATCAACTTACTGATGAAGTAACAAAAGTATTGGCTGAAGCTCTTCATAAAAACAAATTTATCACTTCATTAGATCTTTCTTATAATGAAATTGGTCCTAAAGGTGCAAAAGCTTTGGCAGAGGCTCTTTGCAAAAATACGTCACTCACATTTCTGGATCTTTGTAAAAATCGCCTTGGTATCGAAGGTGGAAAGTTCTTAGCGGAAGCCCTTAGCAAAAATTCTACACTAAGTTTTTTAAATCTTAAAAGTAACGAGCTTGCTGAAAGTGGAAACTTATTGGCGAAAGCTCTTTGTAATAATACTGGTATCAGATCTTTGATTCTTTCTGATAACAGACTTTGCGTTGAAGACATTGAGGCTTTAGCAGAATCTCTTTGTGAAAATTCGACTCTCACATCTTTAGACCTTTCTTATAATGAAATTGGTTCTGAAGAAGGAATAGCATTGGCATGGGCACTTCGAATGAATTCATCTTTAATCTCTTTAGATCTTTCCATTAGTGAATTTGGTTCGGAAACAATAATAAAAGCAATCATAAAAGCTTTACGCAAGAACGTAACTTTAACTTTCTTAAGCTTTCATTTACATGATTTTAATTTTGAAGATTCTGATGATGATTCTGATGAACAAAATGTATTTAGAAATATTAACGATTTATTAGAAAATCTTAAAAAAGATATTAGAAAAGACATTAAAATTTCTTTGGGAGTATAATAGCTCGGTTTTAATAAAGCTTTACACAATCATCAATATTTTACAGATTTTATAATTTTTACAAATTTTAATATCGATATATTTTTTTTTAATTGCTATGTTATTTTGCGCATTTTATTAAACTTGAATCATTATTTTGGATCCGTTAGCGTTAGTAAATATATATATCCAGAGAATTACCGCTAATAACAACCAGGATTTCTTAATTTACCTTCAAATTAGTATTATACAATTGTAATTTAAACATCCATTCTTTTGTTTTATTGTACAGTAAATACAAATAATTTGTATATTAAAATATATATAATAAAGTAAATGATTTAATAAACAATGTTAATTTAAAATTTTGTAATTTTACAATTAAAATAATCAAAATTTTTAAACTACAAATTAGTAATACGTTAAAAATCCATACTAATTAAAGAAAAATTTCAATAGATAAAAAATTCTTAAAACTCATACTAGTCTATCTGCAACTCGAACAATCCTAGTATTGCCCATAGAACAAACACCGCTGACGCCACATTTTATATAGTATTTATGTGTTTCGTATTTCTTTATATAACGAATCGTTTAGTAATTAATTTAAAACTAAATAATCTCAATTATATTTACAAGAGATGTCACTGGTATTTTTTTTATGAATGATGTTATGTTTGCTAACCAATTTGAGTAATTAAACTGATTTAGAATGGATTAGTTTTTTAATAACTTAGTTTAGTTTATATTTTTCATTATCAATTTAGAAAATTAATTATCATAGAGAATTGGTATTTATACTCTCAGTTTTAATATTCATACCTTCTATTAAACAAAAAAATGTTTTAAACCAAATATTGTTATTAACTTCTTTAGCAATCTTAAGTAAAGTTGTTTCTTAGACTTTTCTGATTCTAATAATAGTAAAATCATAAAATTGGTTTAGTAATTCTTAAGTTATTTATATTTAAATTTAATAAATATTAGTTAATATTAAATAGAAACTATTAATCCAATTTTAATAATTTTATTACTATTAAACCTCCAAAAAATATAAAAAATAACTTTACTTAAAACTACAAAGCAGATTTACTTAATAAAAATATATATTTTAGAGCATTTTTGAGTTAATAAAAGTTTTTTTTTTTTGGTATTAAACTGAGCCTTGCTTGTATCTTTATTGGTAGTTTAAAAATTAGTAGCTACATGGAACTGCTATATACAAAAAGTAATTTTCTATATAAATGCTATGGCTAAAACCAACACTTGCAGTCAAGACTAAACTATTAAACTGCTAATTATATAACTATTGCTCTAAGTACAAATAGAAGAAAAACTATATTCAAGAATAAAAGTTCAAAAATATTTATCTGTGATTTAAACCTACTAGAATGATCAAAACTTAATTAGATTTGTAAGTTTAGAATATAGTTATAAAAAATATTGTATTTGATCTAAAGAATAGTCCAGATGTTAATTTTATAAATAGTGTATTCAATGAATAGACAGATATTAGAACTGAAGTGTAGTTGATCAGGTAACCTACATAAACAAGAATAAGTGTAATTTTTGTAATTAGAGTTTTTTTTATTGCTTTAACTTGATTAAAATAAAGGTCTAGTATAAGACAGTTTAAGTCCTTGTTATTGTTTCCAGTTAGTAAAGTTTATACAATATGGTTTCCATATTTGTTTGTAAGAAAGTTTATTAACTTTAAGCAGAATAGTAATAAAGTTTAAGAGACTAGTTTGTATAAAATGTTAAAGTTTTGTAAAATATCAATTAAAGATTTAGAAATAAGTTCTTTAAGTATAATATCAAGATAGTATTAATTTGTTTGAAGAGGTATAAGATAAAAAGTATAGTAGTTACTAATTTTATGAATAAGTTTTTCTTATTAGTTTATAAATAAATCAAGGTCTGTATAATTAATGTATTTAGATATGCTGGTTTGGATAATATTAGAGATAAGTGATAAATTTGAGCATATATACTAATGGGTTGAAAAGTCAGCTAGATTATAGTTAAAACAGTTAGTATTATAAAATATATATAGATAAGTTTTGTAGAAATAAGAGTAGATAAAAAGTTCATTTAGTAAGATTTTAATTTTAAATGATTTAAGATAGTTGAGTTTAAAGTTAGTAACATTATATGTTGGTTTTTGGTTATGATTAAAATATAACCAAGTTGATCTTTAGTTAATTTGAAAAACCAATAAGTCACATTCCATATTACATTTCTGAGAAGACCATATTGCTAAGATGTAGGCTTTGCAGATATTTTTGATAAAGTTTTTAGTTGAATGTTTAATAAAATATTGAACCCAAAAAATTATATAATATGGATTGTAGATGTTTGTATAGTATAGGTGATGAATTATATTGTTTTGCTAATAAGTCTACTAAATTATAAGAGTGTTATTAAAATGAGCTTGTACTTTATAAAAATTAATCTGGTGGTTATAAAATTTGATAATATTAAGCAGAATATATTATATAGGCTATGAGCTAAATTTAAAAAGCTTGTTAAGATTTAAGAGAATAGTGTATATTTTAGAATATTTAGTAATTAATAACTAAGAATCAGTAAAGATATTAATTGTTAAGTTGTAAGAAGTAATTAAAATGTTAAAAGAATTAACATTAGTTCAATTTTGTAAAAAGATGAACAGAAATAGATTTTAGCTAAGAATTTGTGAATAATTTGATAAAGATCATTAACTTGTACTCATCCAATATCTATTGTACATTGATCTATACTGATGTTAATTACAGAGCTATCAGTATAGAAATTAAATATATTTAGTATTGTATTAGTAAGAGAATATTGTTTAAGTATATTTGTAGCTTCTCTTTGCTTAAAAATTTCTGATATAGAGAAATCAGAAATGTAAATAGTAGGAGCAAAAGGTAAGAATAATGATGTTTAATTGCAGTTAAATAAATTAGATCATTATAGTTTACATTAAAGTTAAGTGCATTAGAGAAAACTCTTTCAAGAAATTGGATAAAAATTATTGATAATATATTAATTGTGCAGAAATTTGCAACTTTATAAGAATTAAGATAGCAATCTGAACAAGATAAGCATTGAATTGGTAGAAGAGAGTAGTGAGCAGAAAGTTCTGTATTAATATTTGTTTTTTAGTATATAATAGATATTTAATTGTTATTTTTAAAAAATCTGTGAATTTTGTTAATAATAATATCATTATTATTGTATATAAATAACTAAGATTTAAGTTTTTTAAAGATATGTTAAGAGTTATAGGCGAAAGAATTGTGTCCAGTTTGTTGGTATTGTAGAAATAGTATTCTGAAACTGTTGTTAGTGATTAGTATTTTCTAGACATGTAAATCAAGATGGTTTACATTCTTTAGGTAGCTGTATTAAACAAAATGAAAGATAAGTCCATTGAAGTAGAATAGTATTATCTGTAATGCAAACTTGCTCAAGATATAAGTTATTATATTTTCTAAGTTGTTTTTGAAAGTAGTGTATTGAGAGTAAAAGGACACAATTGGTTCTAATGATTGGAGATTGTATTGTGTAGTATTAGGCCAGAATACACTATTATTAGCTGTTATAAACATATTAATATATATAATAAGTTAGATAATTTTGAAGTTTAAAGTATATCTATTAGGTCCACCAATATTAGATTGAGAATATTGAAATATATTTGTAGTTGATCAGAGATTATTTTGTAATTGTTGTAATTGAATACATATAGAAGTTTCTAGTAAAAAAGAGTCGTTAATTTGTAAAATAAAGTTAGATATATGATGTTAAAGTTGAATATCTTAAATATTATATATGTCATATAAAAACAGATTAAACATAGTGCTGTTTAAAATGAAATAAACTAAATGAGATTTATGTTTAGCTATAGTTAGATATTTAGCTAAAATTTTGTTGTATACAAAATAAGAAAGAACTATATTGTATATTTGATATTCTAGTATAGAAATAATAACTGTATTAATAATATATATTATTTGTTTATTTGTAATTTTTTAGTGCTAGCAATGTTTGTAAGTTGGAATGTTTCTTCTTGAATTAGTTTAATTTGTATAGTTTGTTTGTTATTAAATGTAAACTAGCAGCTAAGAAATTTAAAAGGTTGATTAGCTAAAATAAATGTAAGAGTAGAATTAAAGAATTGGGTAGTAGTTTGAAGTTAATTAAATATAAAGATAGATTTGAAGAAGTTGATTTGAATGTTGACCATTTGATAAAAAAGTTTTGCAGTTTAAAGTGTTTGTTAAAGTTCTAATTTGAATTAAGTTATTCAAAGTGTATTATCCATATAGGCTAAAACAGAGGTAGATGTATTGAGACTTTGGGTTTTGAGTAGAAAAAAACTAGTTGGCCAAGTTATAGATTGTATATAACCTTTGTACTATGATGTAACTTTGTAAATAAGTGGATCATAAAATATTTACTAAAAAAAAGAAGTAATAGTTTTACCTTGGTCTATCTTATTTTTAACTGAATAAAGACCAAATTTTGTAATTATTCTGTTTAGATGGTCTGTAAAGAGATTAATAAGTATATTAATCAGTTTAGATAGCATATTAATACAGTTAAAAGCTTTTTCAAATAAGTTCAAGTTAACTAAGTCATAAGCTTTGCTTATGTTCTGGGATATAAACCAATGTTGTTTGGAATTGCAACATACATTTTTGATAATATTATTAAGTATATAAATAAAAATAGCAGTACTATTGCCTAAAAGAGCAATATAGTTGTAGAGTAAAAGTATTTTGAATTTTGTGAAAGTATAGTTTAAGCAGTTTATAAGCAGTTTGGTATATAGTTTTTTAGTATACTCAAAAAGGCTAATAGATCTGGTATTGGTAAGATATCATTAAAAATTTGTTTTAGAAGAATAAAAAGATTCTGCTCTTCTTCTATTGTTTAGATATATAGTTTGTGAAAATATATCTATTAAATAAAGCAGTAATTGCTTAAAGGAATAGTGAGTCTGCATGTTTGAGCATTTTATAACT